TCTCTCCCGTTGCGACTCTCTATTGTATATCTACTATCTCTCTCTCTCCCCCCTCTCTCCCGTTGCAGCTGGGTATTATCAGATTGCTGGGAGTTCCATAGGGATCAGTATTACTACTGTTGTTTCTACTTTATATAAATGATTTATTTAGGGTTATTTGAGGCAATTGTGAAATTAGACTATTTGATGTGCTAATATACACAACAGGATATTCAAGTCAAGAAATAAATAATAAGCTTAACGAACAGATGGGAAAAATTTAAGAACGGTTAAAGATTAACAGGTTACAGTTAAATGTAAACAAAACCAAAGTTATGTTAGTCAGAGGGATAAGAAAAAAAGTTTCGGAAAGTAATATAAATGTAAAGATAGAAGATACAATATTGGAAGTTGTTAATGAAATTAAATATTTAGGCGTCATAATAGATAAAATTCTGACTTTTACAGCACATGTAAATTATATTGGGAAAAAAATAGGATCGAAATTAGATGTATTTCGTCGAATTAATGGGAATTTAACACCTTACATGAGATGTGTAGTATAAGGCGATAATTGCCCGTTATTTGAATACTGTTCGTCTATTCTAGTAACATAAGTACAAATGATACCCAGACAGCACATAACATTGAAAAAATGTTGATGAGACGTTGTAATATTTCATACAGATGTGCGGATGTTTTTTTACATCTAATCTGTGTTGGCTTTTCAACATTGATTGTAAAATTGTTGCTACAATATTGAATATGCATATATGTATGTGTATACATAAATATTCATTAAAATTTTTTTCTGAAATCAGACAAGAAAGGTCGCCAATTTATTAAATTTTCATTGAAATTTTTTTCATCAAAAACAACACGGCCTCAATAAACAAAGCGACACGGATCTGATAATTATCTATCTGTCCTTAACCAGTTATCCCCGTTTAACTCCTTCTTTCCTCCTGTTCCTATTGCTCCGTCTCCACCACACACATTTTTTTCTCTTTCCCCTTTTCCTATTCCTTTTCTTGTTTCCTTCTTTCAATCCTGGGTTTGTTTTACACATCTTTCTGACAACAGTAATAATTACTATTTGATACAGATTACTCGACTTTTCATTCATGGATATTTATTCATTCATTTTTATGGACATAATGACTTTATAATTTTACAATTCAACATAATAATTTTTATTTTTATTTATTTATTTCTTATTTAATTTAATTTTTTTATTTATTTCTTTAATATTTATTTCTTATTTATTTTTATTTTTATTTTTTTATTTTCCCAACCTCGGACTTCTTAGTTTTTGACTATTTGTGATTTTCTTTTTATCTGACTAATTTTAATACGTTTTGACGGTTTGTGTGATTTAACACTTTAATTGGTTTTTATATAATTTAGACACCACTAAGAATATCTTTGGGCATTTGTTTGACCTGATCTTTGTTATATTTCTACCTGTTCATGTTGGGAGCAAGTGACTGGAGACTTTTTTATTTGTCTTTTTGATTGAT